GACCCGACTATAACACAATATTTACAAAAATAGACTGTAGCAGATCTAAATTTAGAAAAAGAACAATTCAGAAACTTCCTTGCAACCATTTTTAAATTTTACACACTGCAACCAAGTAAAAGTAAAACTTATCTACCATTAACAAATGAACATCAGATATTTTTTTTAGAAACAATTTCAGAAAGAAATGGGTACGTAAATTGTAAAAAATTGAAAACTCGGTTTTGCACAAGTAACAGAAATAAATTTCTGAAAGCACAGGCATCAAAGAATAGAGTAACATGAAAAAAAAAATCTAAAAACATTCATAGTATTTAGTTATGTTAAGAAAATAAAGTTTTACCGTAAAAGTTATCAACAGGTTCATGAAAAAAAAAAGTGCGAGAGTAATTAAAATTCTAAAATTATTTGGTAAATGTTTCAGCTATTGGTCAAAAAATGCTGGTAATTAAACAATACAATTGATTATGGAAAAGTCTCAGAAATACTATTTATTTTGTCTAAATTTGACTCAATAATTAAAACATTGATGCACTTATATTACATATAATTTGACCAAATAACTAAAATATATTGATGCACTTATAATACTTATAACTTGACCAATTAAAATAAATTATATTAAGTGCATATAATAAAATTATATGCACTTAAAATGCATATAATTTGGCAAATAAAGGGAGAGAAAATTTGATTACTCTTATACCAAAAATAACATAAATGTATATTATTTATGCAATAAAAAATAACATAAAGAAAACTATTTTAATGGAAATTACTGGTATGTTACTTACTCAATTAACTACAATAATCATAAGATGTCACAGATAAAGTTCACGAGTGACTGATATGCATTGCAAATACAGTAATACCAGTTATGCTTGAGATTATTTTGCATATATCTGGTGCATCATACATGTGTTGCAACTTTTTAAAATGATACCACCTAATAAGCAACCTCTTTAATTTCTGCACATAACAATAATTAGTACTATTGGAAGCATTTATTGTAAAAATCAGTTATGAAACTCAATCTTAACTAGATAATTTTATTATGTTTACCTGAGGTAATAATAAGTTGAAAAAAATGTATTTAAAATGTTTAACTAAGAGTGCTAGTAAATTAGTATTTTGTATAATAAAACATTATCTAACATCAACCTCAAAAATAATTGTGAAAATTGTCTACTATATCACATAGATCCATTTTTATCAATAAAATAAAGTAAAGACGTGAAGGGTTAAATTTAGCTTATTATGCAATTAATAGATTTTCAAAATGATAAAAAATGATTTAAAAACTTTACTTTTTAAAAATTTTTTAAATCTTTGAAAAAATTAATTTTTAAATATTTATCAATTATTTAATTAAATGTTATTAAATATTCTTAAATTTTTTATGTGATTTAAATATATAAAGATATCTAAAAAAGATCTCTAAAAAAAGAAAATGTCATTAGACTAATTAAAGTTTTGTTTTTTTAAATTAAAAGTCCAAGCGTAATCACGTAAAAAGGTATTTAAAAAAGTGATTTCAAAGCATGAAAATTATTTTAAATGATAAAAGAATATAAATTTTTTAATTACATTATTTTAACAGAATTACATTATTTTAAAAACTGCAATTTAACATGTCTTGCTTATAGGGAATGCCCAGAGGAGTTTTATCGACTCAATATTACTATTGAGTCCATAAAAATTTTGTCAGTAAAACTTACATGACAAAAACTCCTGAAAAAAAGTATGCTTCACAGATAAGATTTTAAAACTTAGATTTCAAAATGCATGCAGTGCCTCCCTAACTTTAGTAAACTATTCATAGAATAGTTTACTAAAGTTAGGGAGGCACTGCTATTCATAGCAGTAATATTAGCAGTACTATTCATAGAATAGTTTATTAACTATTAACTAAATAACTATTCATAGCAGTAATATTAGCAGCACTATTCATAGAATAGTTTACACAAGTTAGGGAGGCACTGCTATTCATAGCAGTATATAACTATTCATCCATTATGTTATAGTAGATTTGGCTTTTAATTTGAATAATAACAAATTCTTGAACTCTTTAACTGCAAAATTCATGGCAGCTTCATTTTCATTTTCAGAAAGATTAGATCCAAAATATCTAGGATCTAGTGTGTTTTCTAGAGCATTACTGACAGTCTGAAGGTATCTAGATTTATTTTTTTGTTTGTTTGTTTGATAAAAATGATAAACTGTTCATCAAATTTTAAAA